GTCACACGTTTTGTTTAATTTCAATCGCAGTACAGCTCCTTCTGAATGACTTCGTCCAGGGAAGTACTGCCACTTTACCTATTTCTACTGCCAAAGAGTATTACAGTGGCAGTGCCCCTCAGATCTTTGCGATTTAATGTGAACATTACCGCGTTTATTATTAAATGACATGCACATGGAACTTGTCAATTTAATAAAAGATACATCACAAAATAGAATTTTTAGTATCTTTTGCTATTTAAAACGGATATTTGACCATTTGCCACTTAGTTTTAGTTAGTGGACAACAGTATGGCAGTGTCCCTCAGATTGCGATTTAAAGCTCTGAGTGGTAGTGGTACACCGGGCGCAAGACTTTTTCATCTTGTCGCTTGGTTTTATAAAAAAAAATGCTTTTGAAGTACTGTAGGTAATAAGGTCTCGTTAAAAACATTCAGCTTTATAAACAGAGAATTTGTTTCTGGCCGTCCACTAACTAAAATGCGGTTGAATGACAAATGGTCAAATAACTGTTTTAAATAGCAAAAAATAGAGCACAAAATTCTCTTATAATAATCTCAGTACAGAGAACTAAAAAAAAACCGACCTCAAAAGTACGTGGAATTACATCTGTTTGCCAAGTTTTCTTGTAATCGGTTACCGAAAAGTGCGCATACCTGGATTCATCCGCTAGTTCGCCACTGTACGGTACTTGACACAGGAGATAATTAAAATCGGTTCTCACTACTCAAACTATATTGAGAGAGAAAAAGGCTTTGAATTAGAGAATAGCAAAATCAACCATTAAAATAATTGCTCTTTATAATAAAATTTAGGCGCTATTTATAAAAATGAATCTTCATCCGTAAACAGCCACTCTTAAAGGTATATGATTTTCTTCAAAATTAAATGGGACCACTATGGAGGTACCCTCTTTCCAACAAAAAAAAGAATCATGAAAAACGGTTTACAAATACCCGAGTTATCACGTAACATACATACAAAAAAAAACATACAGTCAAATTGAGAATCTCCTCCTTTTTTTCAAGTCGATTAAAACAGTTAAAATTAGTTAACGTATTCGACTTATCGGAACTAACCCTACCGATGTATAGCTGAAATATCATTAAACATTTCAATATTCTAAAACTGGTTATGGTTTTTTATGATATCTCAAATAATATTTTGTCACTTAGGGTCGAAACACAAAACCGCGAATTCGCAACTCAAGGCAAGGCATCTCCGTGGCACGGTTCGGGTAACCATTCCTTCGACGATCATCAACCGTACTGAACATATTTTTTAAACTAGGTAGCGACATGGATCGTAAAAAGAGTGTTGTACAACCTTTATTGATAAGAAAGTATAGGAAAAAAACACAAAGAATGAGAGAGAGATGCGGAGCAATTCGCAAATTCCTGCGATGCGTCGTGCGAGCTCGTAGATTTCTGCGACGCATTTCGATCCTTAGCAGAAAGCAGAATATATACTTATCAATAAAAAAAAAAGTTTGCAAAAATTATGACATTACTTTTTTTACTGAACTTTCTTGACAATAGCCTAACAAAACAGTCGCTAAAAACAAAGACCTGCAACAAGCACATAGTAAAATTCTTAAGGTCAAGGTTAGTTGGCATAGCGTCTGACACGGTTTGCTGGAAGACGTTGGTTGGAATCCGGATTGAAGGAATTTTTTCTAAGTGTTCGTATTAATAATAAACAAACCTAACAAAAATTAAGACCTCATTTTGAAGACCGTTTTAAAAGAAAGGCCTCGAAATGATGAAGTAAGCCGCGTTTTCCTTTAACGGTTGAGCACATGGTGAGATGTATTGTTACACTTACAAATATTTATTACATACAAATGAAAGTGATAGGACAACAACTCAATTGAGAAGAAACCGTTCTCCACTAACGTAAATGACAATATGGGTTAACAAGAATAAAATATTTTTCAGCAAAACAACGGTATAAGGAGAAAACATTGTTTAACTCATTCATATATATACAAGGCACATTGTCAATGGCAACGAATGTTTGAAGCCCATACATTTTACACGCTGCTTTCTGATGATCAAAACCATATTATCATTTTCGGTATTTTCTGGTCTTCGAATCCTTTCTTAGAATCAAAGGGAGCGCACCCTCCACGTTGGCCTCCCATAATTAATTGTATACTCGAAAGCTTGCCCGAGAGCCTCAAGGCGAAAGGTATATTCATTTACGGATAAACAGATAATAAACACAGAAAGCGTGGTTTTTCCTTATTCTATAACTTGCCTCACACGATTACCTGAAGGCAGTACCACTGTGTCTTCTTCCACACTTGTACTTTCACAATGAATATAATAAAATATTTGGCAGGATTAAAAATGTCAAAATCCATCTCATGTTACATCTATATCAATGGAAATGATGCAACATTTTAATGTTGCATCGCTGATGACACTGTAATTATATTTTTAGTAGCAGTAGACCTCCCTTGTGAAAGAGGGGTAGGACTGCCAGCTTACCTATTTCTGCCGCCAAGTAGTAATGTCAACATTACAGCGTGTCAGCGGTGGTAGTGAAATTACAGGCACATGGGACTTGTCAACTTATGTCTCAAGGTGACGGGCGCAGTGGTAGTGCCCCTCAGATCTTTGTAATTTAAAGTTTTGAGTGTCACTGTAACTGTTATGGACAGGCGTGTAGCTTACCAACAGGTGCAGGACTTGTTCGTCCCACCATTCGATGTTATAAAAATAAGGCAAAAGGGAATTCAAACTAATTTTTAATTTAATCAATTTTATGTCTCAAGACGACGATGGACCCATTGGCAGTGTCCCTCAGGTCTTAGCGATTTAAAGCTCTGTGTGACACTGCAACTGTTACGTGTATACGTGTCGCTTACAACCAGGCATTCGATACGAACAATTTTATGAATGACTTGGCTTCTTTCTTTATTTAATAGAGATAGTGCCTCAGTCGTTGTCGGGGTTAAGACACATACCGCGGTTTTTTTTTATTTGTGTCTTATGTATTGTGTTGCTCTTGCATATTCTAGTTGTTTAATTAACTTTTGGGCTATGCTCCCTCTGTAGCAGAATCATAGATCTATTTGACATGTTTGTTTTAGTATTAATTTTTTTATTCCTTTTTTTAATATTTCACTGCGTGTAAAACATTTTTTTGCAAACTTTTGTCGACTTTACCAGTGTTACATTAAACTGATTTATTAAGAATGTCTAATGTCGTTTGGATGCATTATAATTTTAAACATGAATCTAACACACAATAATGAAGTGAAAAGAAAAGTTAATTTCTCAAATTGGTCCTACCGGGAATCGAAGCCAGGATCTCCTTATCCAGCGCTCATAGCATAAACCGTTGGGCTACCCGAGTTCGTCAGATTAGAAAAAAATTGTGAAGTATTTACTAATGTGTGAAATTCTTAGCCTATGTCAGACTAAGGTCGTGGATGATGCCTCTCGGTGCAGAGGAATGTGTAAATGATTTGAAAATCAAATCAATCACAAGAATGAGCTTGTACGAGAAATCACAATTGGACTTTCACAAGGCAGTGTGTTGTTGCCTCTATTAAATAGAGTTGACAATGAATTAAAAAATACTTTTTTCAGTGTTTTATAAAATGTATTGTTTTAGCAATTTCATAGTCTACATGTGTTTACAAGTCAATCTTTTTACCATCGACAATTTTTCAGACAACGAAAAAGTAAAATGTATACCAATCTCCAAAATACACGAAGCGGAAAATATATCAGTCTTTCATAAAAGTAATTTTACGAGAAACCAACAATGTCCAGTTTTTCGATTTTGACATTTTATGTTGGTGTACCATAAGCAAATTACAAAAATCTGTTCGGAAACAAAGGAAATTGTTTTTTATAGTGGGGTTTAATAATCTTGTGCGTGACCCGTTTGCGTACGCTGATGGAATAAATTTGACTAGAACACCATTTTTGTTAGTGCTAGAATTGTATTATTTATAAATACTATATTCTCTGCCCATGATTTTATTTGTATTCAGGAATAACAAATACCATATTTATACCAGCCCAATGTTGTCGCGTATTTATTTTAATAAGTAGAAAAATTATGGCGTCTCACTCACAATAAAATTTACATCTTACAAATGTACATCTTTCTTATTTTTTATTTAAATAAAAAATATAATGGCGGCGGCTTTAATAAAATTAAGTAGCTTTATTAGTGCACCGCAAAACTATAAAAATACCTGTGGTGCAGCTGTGTAACAAGCAGACATCGGTATAACATGTTCTTGAATTTAAATTAATTATCATATAAAAGTAATACGACATCTTTTTTAAATTATATTCAAATATGATTCAGAACAATATTTTCTATCGTAGTGACACGTTTGTTATTAGTGTCAGTTACTGGGTGTTCATTATTGGTGAATGTCGATTATTGGTTAATTAGTGAATTTTTGGTGTTCATTACAGGAGATTTGAAGAAAATGTATTTTAGGTTGTTTTACTAATAATTATAATAGCTTTATTAATTAATTGAAAAGTTTTTTTTTCATGAAACACACTACAGCATAATCTTTCTTAAAGATTATATCTGTCAAGTAAACTAATCACTGTTGATATACATATAAGTTTAGAAACAAAAAGTTTTTTCACTTATATACATAAAAATATAGGCTTTTTCTTACGAGAGTGAGTGATTCGGCCAATATTACTGAATATTTTAATATATTAATATTACTAATTTTTAAGCGAACACTTAATTTTAAAAATACAAATAGAATTATAACTATTAGTTGTACTTTAAATTCAAATTATTTTTGATTCTTAATTACTTACTTCAATTCTGTTAATTTAGATAATTATAAATAAATTCATGTGTATACCTAAATAAAGAAACATTTTTTATTTTTTCATTTTATTTATTTATTTAAAAACACACTTCCCTTAAAGTGTTGGTCATTAGTGTCACCCTATATAGCTTCTATTTGAATTATGCTTAATGTTTGACCCTTATTTTTGTTATAGAAACGAAAATGCTGAACAAAAAGATTGCCGTAGCAATCGCCGTTTTTGTGGCCATTATTTGTCTGGCTGAAGCTCGTAACGACGATGGTCCACACGACATGGCTGATGCTCTTCGCATGCTGCAGGAGCTAGATCGCTTCTATACTCAGGCCGCTAGACCGAGGTATGTATTTTAAAGTAATTACAAGAAGCTTATTTTTCCCTCGCATTCAGGTTGGCTTTGAAATAAGCTATCACGTGGTATTCAAACGGCGTGGCGATGGGAAAATGTGTTCGGCATTCTGCGTTAAATAAATAAACTATAGACACTTGTTTTTAAGTCGAGAGTTAACAAACTTTACAGTTGTTTAGTTTAGAATAATATACGAAGGCTTAACAGCGACGATGTCTAACCTAATCTAACCTAGGGCGAATACACTACGTCCAACTTATTTTGTTTCTTGTAGAATTCAGAGTTTTTAGAATCCCGCGGATCAATTGAGAACCTTTTATCTAGACCATTGTTGTTACTTTCAACAAAAATACTTCTGAATAGATATAAAAATATAGTAACAATATTTGAAATAGCATTTTATACGCCCTAGAGTTTCCGGGATAAGTAGAAACTATTTTTTTTTTTTTAATAATAATAACGCTCACAATCAACATAGCCCCGAACTAGGGAAACCCTGTGTCGCGGGTGCCATGGACACACACATAGACAACCACAAATTACACCCAAACTCACGAGAGAAATAAATGTAGGCCATACAAGTATTTCTCCCGGCCCGGGAATCGAACCTGGGACCTCTGCGTGGCAGTCCGGCATGGTAACCGTTCGGCCACGGAGGCAGTTAAATTATAAATTATTAATATTGTTCGCAACTTTGTGCGAATCTGATAAACATCTCAGACTTCATCATTATTTTCATACAAGCCTTTTATTCTTCTCACTGCACACTTTTTAAGAACATTCTCGATTTAATGTGAAGATGTTCCTTATTCGAAAACCTCTTCCAATGTTTCCACGTTAGTTCTAGGATTCATTTTTAAATAATATACAAAGGTTTCCATATTTTAAAATAGGCTTTATTATGTTAAAAGTATTTTGAAAATTATGTCAAAGCCCGATCGGTCTTTTAATTCAGGTCCTAGAGATGACGTGAAAATTCTTAAAGTAAAAACCAAAGGAGAAAAAGTTTGAATTTAGTTTCTTCACGTTTATTGTTGCACAGCATCTGGACGTGAAATTCTAACTTTCCTAAGAATGAAAACTTTCCTTATAAGTTGTTCAAAGTTTAAAATACTTAATTAATAAGTCGTTAATAAGCGCTAATGCGATACAATCTTTCATTCTGTACAAAGTTACGCGACCTGTAAGTTCTAAGTTCGAGAAAGTCTAAACACTTTTCAGTTTTCAACATTTTCAACAACCAGTTCGACCCTGGAAAGGTAAAACGCCTAACGTACGCTTGGAAAATATTACAGGAGAGCAATTCGATTTAAAAAAAAAAAAAAATAGCATGTAACAACCAAGAGATAAGAAATATTAACACAAGAAATATTAACAACGTTGCCTTGCCGCTAGCAGGCGTTGGAATCAAAATAAAACGCGCTATCGAAGTGTTAACTAAATTACTATTTAAGTAGCAAAAGAAAGTAGCTTTGTATCGAATCATAAGGCCTATGAGTGGCACTCCAGTACTTCCACCGGGTGGGAGCTCAAAGAATCGTCGGTCCTCGCAGAGACACAGTATCGAATCAAAAATATCGATACTGTACTCATGACTAGTTGCGTACTCATAAAAATGTCGATACCTAAAAACAGAATAAAACACATGAATTAATAAGTTTTTCACTTGATTCACGATTTTTAATTGACACAAATAATAAAAGACTGATTAAATCGATCAATTCAATTAATAGTCATTTCACATAATTTGTTTTACATAAATTTCCTCCTCTCTATATTCACATAAAAACAAAAATCTATTTGGTAACAGTCTGTTTCTCGTTTTTGATATTGTATTACCTGCTTTTGAGAACAAACGTTCTGAAGAAGGAACAAACTTCGCCGGAATTGCGAGGTACTGGAATACAATGTTTGTTAGGTACGTTAATTGAAATGTTTTTATCTATTTTTCTACATTCTCATTCTGATAAAGAGGCAAATGGTGGCATACACTATACAGCCAAGTCATGTGTTATGATATGAGGTGTCTTAAGTAGGAATTAGTCAAAACGATACGATACTTGGCAAAAAGTACAAATACCTGAAAAGTATCGAGTACAAAAGTATCGGTATCGGAAGGAAAAGTACTTACTCGATACCAGAAAGTATTGATACTTTTCATGTCCCTAGGCTCTCGTCATCGAACGCTGGCTGCCGCTTCCACTAGGTGGGGACGGTGAACTGACACCGTGCATCAGCGCGATTGCGTCTCCTATGTCGATCATACAACTACGTCATAAACGCGTTTGAACATTTGGAGATTCCCAAGCGTCTTTCTTCGCCCTCCCTCGCTTCGTATTATTTCTTGTACGTGGTGTTACAACCTCTAATTTTATTTGCTATATGAAAAACTAGGAAGTTTCAATTTTTCCATATAACAGGCCCATACCATGTTACGTAAGTTTTGTTTATAGTGCCCCTCCCTATCAACCTCTTGGTTAAGCGGGGAGGGCACTATGACCTGTGCGCGCACAGGAACCTTATAAGTTCAAGTTCTGGCCCCAGATCAGCCAGTATATAGGTTTGCCACAGACCTCTGTCACGACTTCATCCGGTTCTTCGAGAGGTTAGAGCCTCGGGTGATCCGCCCCGATTGCACGAACAGTAGCTTCCCTATTTTCCAGATAGGTACCGGAGTTGTAGGCACACTCACTCCCCGTTGTGCATTGCACATCTCGCGGTTGCCACCGCTAAGTCGTCGACTCTGAGTCCACTACCAAATCTCGTCATTGGTGGCGGAACTGTAAGGCATGCTCACTTCCCGACGCCGAAAAACGACGTTACTCCAGTTCTCAATAACCTAAGTGGCTGGAGGGACCGAAGGATATCTAGCTTATCCTCTACTATCTCTCCGGGCTAGTGCCGGAGATGCCAGTCGCAGTGTGCTGCGATAATGTCCAGACATAGCTTCCAACTTTTTTTTAATAACGCACACACTCAACATAGCCCCGCACTAGGGAAACCCTGTGTCGCGGGTGCCATGGACACACATAGACAACCACAAATTACACCCAAACTCACGAGAGAAATAAATGTAAGCCATACAAACATTTCTCCCGGCTCGGGAATCGAACCTGGGACCTCTGCGTGGCAGTCCGGCATGGTAACTGTTCGGCCACGGAGGCAGAACTTAAAGGGCTACTCACGTGTCCCACGCGTCTCTTCGCTTCAGGCCCTCAACTAGACCGCTACTAAGACCCGATAGCTGCTCACGAGACAGACGCCCCGGACACATGCAACCGGGCAGACAAAATGTCCGTCTCATAGACACCATTTCCATATAACAAACATAATTAGAAGTACGATTAGTTTTACACACTTATGTCTTAGCTCAACTGGAAGTAGACTTGCTTATGCTCTATCTCGTCCTGCCATCAACGGCTAGATAATGATGATGCTACGATACCAAATTAATATAAAATTCTTGAATACTGCTGCGCTATTTCTGGGTACAAATACGCCCACGCTATCGAACGCCTGCAAATAAAAATTATAAAATATTTAAATTTTCATACTAACAACATACCGAACGATTACAGGGAGTCGTGTTGTAAACACGGTCTCACTGCACTTAGCCATAAACGTCGTATGCGGGAAATGGCTGTTTTATACGATATTTGTTCAGAAAAATTAGATTACATAGAATTACATTACATTAGTTAATAAAAGATTACATTAGTTAATAAGATAATCATAAAAGCTTATACGAAGAGATCACGT